TGGGTGCAGATTCACGTTGCGTAGATGTAATGGTTGCACTGCCAGCCTCTGAAGGGCCTCTGCCTTTTTTTCCTCGGGAATAATTTTTTGTTGCACCATCTTGGCATTTGCCTGGGATGACTGTGAACACTTATTGCCAGATCTATGACTGTTGATAACACTAAGGGCCGCCGAGTGGCTGACTCTCTTCGAAATCTTTACATCAGAGACTGTACAGAATTCATCATCCCCCGAATCCCATGCATCATCCACACTCTCCTGAAAGTCTTGAAAGGAAGTGGAGCCTCCACTTCCACTTGTACTACTACTGCTGTTAGCAATACCAGTCAGATTACTGGATCCAATTGTCGTAGGATTAAACTTGCCATACCTAACGTCTTGTTTTAGGCTTGGCCTATAAAGAATAAATTTTGATTATTAAGTAAATTTATGAAAAACCATAAGAGAACATTGTGAAAAGAAACACACCTTCCTGGTACAGCTCGTGTGTTTTTCTTCCAGAAAGACTGATGGGTCGAGATAGCCTGATGGTGGTAACCTTGATTTTCCATTGCTGTAGGAAACCAAGTTAGTTTGTACCTGGTAATCTTTCGATACAGATGTTGCAGCACGGATCCTCATACCCTTGCAACAATAGCTAAAGATCTACAATAACCAGAAATACTGTAGTACTTGTAATTCTAGCCATCATTGAGTGCTTTCCATTTGATGATATAGTCGACAAGTGTCACTGCCTTTATTATTCATCGGATATCGAGAGAGATAGAATGTTTATATTGACCTATATCACTAAAAGGAAAACACCTATTGTCATCACAATTTGTATAACAGATGTGTACTAAACCAAAAACATACGATTATAAGTATAAACTTAATATGTGTCAACTATTATTCTCTAAGTCATAAACTTAGCATTTCTGACAAATCAAAGAGTAATATAGATTATAAATATTTCATAATCTTGTTATAGTCTTATACACACGTGATGTCGAGCGTAACATCGAACGAGGTTGTCAACGCCTAAACAACTACAACGATGGAAGGGATAGAGAAGAATGGAACGGAAGGAGAGGACGGATTCTCCGAAATAACAAACGCATCATAACATATGATTCCCCAGTACATCGAGGACGCGCCCGATTCCGACGCGTCGCGGGTGGTTCACACGATCGAATTACAGGGACACACTCTGCGACGTCGACGGATACACGTCTACGTGCTGCGCGACGGAGAGTCTCGACGTCGCCGTTGACGAATTAAGGTTATGTTGCGTAAGACGCGTCAAAAATCGGCCGCGCAAGTAGTGGAAGAGGAAAGGAAAGAAAGGAGGTATATACAACGAGATGAGGAAAAGCGTTCCTATACATTTCCTGTCTGTACAGCCGACGATCCCACGAGGTCAAGTGGCCTAGTTTTCTAGCTGGCCACGGCGTCGCGACGACGACGTCGTCGTCGTCATCGTCATCGACGTACGTCGTCGTCGTTTCTGTCGTCACGATAGATCGCGATTTTGCCGAGCACGATCACCGCGTTCCTCTCTCTCTCTCTCTTTCTCTCTCCCCCTCTCCCTTCCTTCCTCCCTCCCCCTCTTTCTTTTAGGATGCTCCGCAACACTCCCGAAGACGCCGCGATCAACGCGGCGACTCTGTTCGCTCGAGCGAGCAGATACGCGATTTCGATGTACAGCCGTACGAGTCAAGTCACGCGAGCGCTGCCGCCACAAACCGCGATCTCTTCTTTTCGCATCACCGCTTTTCTTGTGCTATTCCATGCTACTTGTTGACCGACATATCATGTATAATCTCTCTACGCGAAACGAACACGCGTATGAAAGCGACAGAGAGAGAGAGAGAGAGAGAGAGAGAGAGAGAGAGAGAGAGAGAGAACGTGAGAAAATGTAAAAAGGACATGTCAGAAGCATTGTCTCGTATCTCATTGTCATCCCATAGTTATCTCTTTCACATATCGATACTAACGCTGACAGTGATAAGTGTGATTTAGAACATAAATGGCGAAATCTGTCAAGAATAGATTTTCTCGGCGAAATTTGCCAGCATAATGTAATCGAATTTGCTAACAATAAGAATAATATTATGAATTTGCTAGAAACGCAACGGAATACAATAGCAGCGGGCTTATTACTTTTTCAGTGTTGAAATGAGACAAGGTGAAAATTAAAAAAATTAGCAAAATTTCTGTTTGGTTTTTGCTAGAAATCTGTTATTAGATCACATCAACAAATTTTGCTGGTACTCGAGCTAATGTGGATATATAGTCGATGCGAATTTGCTGGCACATCGCCAATATTTTGTACATATCTCATGTATGAGTTGAATCTTCAGATTTTAACTCCCATTTCGTTCAATGTGCATTAACTTTAATCTCGACCCAGGGAAAAATATTTTAAAT